TCCCTATCTGTATATTTGTTGTAATAATACAATATGAAAAGAAACATAACCTTTGTATCATTAAATTTTATATTAGTTAATTTTTATAACATTCTTTTATTACCTTTTCTTTTTCACAAGCTTCTTTAAGTTTCTGAAGTTTAAATTCTGCCTCTACTATTTTTTTAGAGGCCTCAGATATTCTTTGTTCTATTGCATTAATGTTTTCTCTGTGTAACATATTTATTTATTAATTGTTTTCATATCGTATTACGTTATTATGTGTATTTTGATATTGTATTACATAAAATAAAATGATATATTTTGTTCATACCCTGGAAATGTCCAAAAATATACAGCAGTACCAATTTTTTCTGATCTCACCAATCCATCATCTACTAATGTTTGAAGTACATCTTTTACTGATTGTGCAACGATGCCTTTTTCTTTAGGTGCAATTTTTTCTAATTCTTTTAAGGTAAAAAACTCTCTTTTTTCATAAAATATGTAAAGTAATCTCATACGTTTTTCCTCGAGAGAAAGTTTTCGTTTAGACATTTTATGTAGATAACTGTAATAAAGTTACAAATGTTGAAGAAAATTATTTTTTATATTTATAGTGATGCAGCAATGAAGCAATTCCTTTTACATCTAGACGAGACTTTTGCTTTGGGAAGAAAATTTATTATTCAAGATCTGGATGAAAGGCATTTGTTTATCTCCGCTGATATCTTAGACACCTTACAAACAAAAGTAGATGACCTTATGGATCAAATATCATTTCCTTTAGCAGAAAAAGGAATATAAATAACAATCAAAATATATTTTCCTTATAATATAGTAGGAAACAGTGTGATTTATCATAAAATAATCAAACATGGCTGCTCGAGAATCTGGTAGAATAAAAGATGCATATCAGAAAAGAATGCTCGATGAAGCTGCTCGTAAGCGCAGACAGAAGAAGGCATTGGAAGCTTTAGAACAAGATAATTTTCATGATGACCCACATGCTGATTTAGGTATACAAATACCTTCTGCAATTCAATAATTTAAATATACTATATTTAAATTACTACTATATTTGTAACATAATGATTTATAACATTTTATAAATATACTGTTACAGTAATGAGCAAGAAAGTACCAAAATTTCAGGAGACTTTAGATAACAGAGGTGGTAGAAGAAAGAAGACTAGATCAGCAGAATATTATAAACAACGGTTTCGTAAGAGTTTTCCTCAGTTAGTAGAGGAAGATCTTAACATTAATCCAAATCCTCCTAATTATGCATCTGCTCAAGCACAACCATCTCGATTCCCTGAACGACAGTTTTGTGCAGTTTGTGGTTTTCCTAGTAATTATACATGTATTCCTTGTGGAGCTAGATATTGTAGTATGAAATGCTTAGGTACTCATCTTGACACGAGATGTTTGAAATGGACAGCTTAAAGAACGAACGTGTAACTGTTGTGAAGTCTATATGTAATTTACTGTTATAAATATATCTTTTATACAATTATGTTATATGACAAAATATTTAAAAAATTTTGATTGTTATAAATAAAATTAAATAAAACCTATTTTTCATTATAAATGTAATAAGACTAATATATATATAAGAAAATATGTTAAATAAATTTGTATATTTTTATAAATTATTGCATTTTTATATTTTCTTCAAAAAGCTGTTATTATTGACTATTTTGAAGCTTACCTGTTTTAATACTTGACTTCTTTAATACTAATGAATTCAACAGAAATATTCATAAATTTTCAAATATTATCAAACTACACTATATTTTTTGTTACTTTGCACGTCGTTTCGCATTTACAATGCCATTTATGTTTACATCGAAGAGGTGATGTAGAATATCGCACGTACTACGATATTATCATGCGAATACTGAATTTTAAACAAAATGTTTGGGTTATGATATAATTTGATAAAATAAAGAAATAAAGCACGTGGAAAACTACTGTGGGAATGTATGATTTCAGCCAACGAACTGACAAATATAAAACTCTAAGAATGTGGCGGGAACGATTTTCATTTCATGAAAACAATAGCCCTCTGGTGGAAGCTAGAAGAATCTTCATACTGTGACGAAAAAAGCAGTAATAGAAAAGTAGAAAAACGTCTAGTGGAAGGACGTATGTTCGTTTATAATTATGTGAAGTTTAAATTCGTGAATTTAATCTTTGTTCCGCCTAATATACGGACGGATTCGAAATTGTCTACGTGAAAGTGTTACGTACTCGAATACACTGTATTGTGTTGTGGACTGGTTATTGTATAGGTTATAATAATATATAGGCATGTAAAATGTCATAGATATAACAATTGTAAAAGAAGAGTGGCTAATAAATTATTCTCCTGTTATTTCCAATAAATGTACGTATGCTTTATATGAGTTGTATTTTATGATTCTTTCGTATGCTCAAAATGTCGATTCCTAAAATGTTATGAGTTTCCTGGTATAAATTATTAAATGTACGTGTTAGTACCTTGTAGATGTAGTTAATCAGGTAGAAAGTTATTCAATTCCAATTTAATTATACAAATACTGTCTTTACTAATATTGCAGTTTCAAAAGACGAACGAATATCACGATTTGTTGGTAAAAGCGCGAGTTTAGAACATTCACTTTTCGCAAGCACATTCTGCCCTCTACCGATGTAGACGAGTACCTTAAATACGCTGTTTTAAGTGTCGCGCGAAATGTTTGTTCTAACTTATTTTGGTTTTCGATCATTTGAAAGAGCATCGAGAGACTACACCTATATATTATTCAGTGTGATGTGAATTTACCTGTGATACGAATAATGTAAAATTTTTAATTGTGGATTTTCGAGTGAGAAAGAATAATCAAAGGTAACGTCTATTTTAAGAATGAAGTTATCGATACTGTAGTACAATAAAATTCTCGTTTCGAAACTATTTTTGAGCAATACGTTAATATACTTTTTATATGAAAATCTATTATCATTATTACTTTCCGTACAGATTACGTTCAATTATCAATGCCAATGTTGAACTTGGACACGAAAAGTGTCATTTTTAAAAAATGAAAATGATACATTATTTTGATGTAACTTTTTGAGATAATTCACATGCCTAATTTATAATTACAAAGCATGCAAGAAAGTTCAAAATTTCTGTATAGAAAATTTGAATTTTATTCGTGTTCTATTTCATTTCAACAGCGTACATTACACCGAATTGCAAAATACTGTGCTCAGATAAATATATTTAAACGTTTTATTCATGTTTAGAAAATCTTTTGGAGGGGATCACGCATAAAATCATTCAACTAGTTTAATACTATCGTAATCTATAAGTATATGCAATACATCTACCTGGTGTGTTGAGCTTCCTCATCAACTGAAATTTGTATTTATAGACGGAAGTAAGACAGCCGAAGATAATTAGAATAAGCTTCGATGACTAACCGCTGGTGGCTGAGGTGGATTTTGCAGCGAAGATAAGATCTTTGCGAACCGTGCAACTCTTTAATTGCAGAAGTAATTACTGCGTACCACTCAGTGCAATAACGATGACGACCTTAGACTCGCAGGCCGATAAAACTTTGTGCCATCTTGATAAGCTTTCGAACACGGAGTTAGCTGAAATTCCATCCGGCCATGGACTTCCTGTTGGAATAAGTCCATTGGAATCTCGGGTAGCCGGACATCCGCCGTTAGACATCGAACGGCAGACGATTGGTAAGCATCTGATCGAATTAAACGCAGCGGAAGATGAAATACTGAGAAAGCAGTTTTACTCAACCGTCGCAATGATTTGGTAATTTTATGCAAACAATCTAACGGCACCACACCTATTGCTTCTTACATTTCTAAACGAACAATTTCCATTTCTTTCACGAGCAGCTTTTTCTCCACTTTATTTTCCAAAATGTTAACCTTTTCTTTCTTTCACGTTAGAAATATAATTTCGGTTCGACTTTGAGTTACCTCGAACTGATAAATGTAAAAATAAACGTAGTTTGTTTCGTGGTATTTCTCTTTTATACGTGTTTAAAAGTTTGGTCATAAGTTTAAGTTACCTGTATGGTAGTTTTCCTACAATTAGGGAGATAGGGGACGATATTATGCAAATATAGATTCTACAAAACTTAATCGAGATTTTAATGAAGAGGGGGAGAAAAATGACGAATATTTATTTATTGAATTTTAACTATTTTAATTATTTTCACGAGTTTCCTGTTTGATCTGTCTGCTTGCTTATCAAAATTCTTTCATAAGTTGTAAAATACACTTTTTTAATCTACAAATGATAACAACCTTTGTAAATACATGAAAAATAAGGAAAGCGTTATCTATTTTCCTGGAATGCTTGAAAATCTAATCTGATGAAATATTTTGCAATTAAAATTTCTTCGGAAGTGATAGAGGAAACAGTTCTGATAAACAGGGTAGATAAATATCGTTGACTGTAATGCAGTATCGATTTTATGCTTATAGCAGCATTTATTATTATACCTCCCTGATTAAGTATTTGTGAATTTATATTTAATATTTATTATAATATCTGTTTTACTTTTATTTGTAGGAAAACAATAATTACTTAATATTTATCTTGTAAAGATCGAGGAAATGAAAATGTTAATAAATGTTGTAGGTATGTTACGTAGGTCGGACGGTCGTGTATTTAAACCTGTTGTTAAACCATTGCTTGGGAAAAGGGAAATCTCGTTTTATGAAAATTTACAAATATCCCAAGATCCTGTTCTGTTACAATTGAAGAATTATGTTCCACGATATTACGGGACAACAGAGCTGCAAATTTTTGGCAGACGTAAGATATCAAAAGTATCGAATTTTTAACTTCTCTATAATTCAGTCTTTTATACATATATATTTTTATTCCCTTTCCATTTTTTCGTACGTCTTTTGTGTTCGTAATTATATCGCAGTATGTGTAAAAATCTTGTAATCATTTTAAAGATAAAAGTCGAATAATTCCCTAACAGATTTTCGCCAGTTTTTTTCTTTTTTCTTTTTTCTATCACAATTAGTATCGCTAATGTATTAGAAGGATACAAAGAATCTTTGATGAACATTTCATTTTCATCGTTATCGTGCTTCCTTTTAAAGAAAGATACGAATATTACTATCACACCATTCCCTTATAGAATGCTAGTGATTTTATTCATTCGCGAGAATTTGTTTAATTTATTTATTTATTTATTTTTTTTCTAATAACAGCTCATCGCAATTTTTTTTTTTCATCTTTAACGGTAAAGAAAATAAATAGATTTTTGCTTCGGATGGACTCTATCCTGCGTAATTATAGAAGATGGATTGTGGTTCTAACGATATAAATTCGATGCTTAGTATGTTGTTGATTTACCATGCATGTATTACGAATTATTAAAGAATTTGCCCCAAGATTCTCTATCTACACTTAATTGCTGAAAATTCACGGTATCGTACAGTTTAACATAATATGATTAATCGTTTCCGTAAAATATTAGGAGTAACATTCCTTACGCTGAAAGATATTACCGATGGTATGGCGGAACCATGCGTGATGGATATAAAAATAGGTAGACGAACGTGGGATCCTTTAGCGACGCCAGAGAAAAAGGCAACGGAAGAATTAAAGTACGCCGAATCTAAACGCACTTATGGATTCTGTATAACCGGCTTTCAAGTATATTGCGTCTCTTCCGGGCAATTAAAACAGTTTGGCAAACATTATGGAAAGACTCTTGATGCTAAGGGTGTTGTGGAAGGTATATTATTAACTTCAATTACTTTATAGGGCACATACACAGTATCATGAATTTACGAGCTATCCTTGTTGTTATAATTCAAATGTTTTTTTAATGTTTCATTAGTTACGTATGTATAGTTGTATAAGTGATATACATATCACTATTGGGTCGTGTGCGGAACGATTCTAACGAAACGCTGGAAACCACTTCCAGAACACTTTAAACAATTCACTCTTTAAATTCAAACTATTCCAAATAGTGCCTTTTCTTTCCTGCGCAGCGCTGAAAATCTTCCTGAATATAAGTCCAGAAAGACCGCCCTGTCGTCAATTGATTGTGATGCTGCTCTCTTTCTTGTGGAAGATCTTACTATTCTTTCGTATCCAGCGGTTGTTCCGCTTTTATTCTAGTTCCCTATTGGTGGCATACGATGCGAAAAGATTGCGGTACTATCACCGTCTAAATAACGTGAACGCCGGTAAATTACCCAGCCATGTATCCAAGTCATTTTCCTCCACAAATAGTCATGAAATCACATCGAATGTGTTCAAACACACGAATGACGCGACGAGTAATTCAGTTTCGAGCACGGTCGAAACAACTAGGAACCGGACAACGGAGAGGGTACACTTTGTAAAGAGAAGCATCAGTTTGAGCAGCAGCGAGTATGATTCGTCAGGAAAGCAAAAGACTCTGAACAGAAGCGGATCGTGTAGTCCGGACTTTAGAGTGGACCGACTCTGCAGTATGCATTCGTGCAGTTTTGATGACGACATTATCAGAATGAGAGAAAGCTACGATGATTTACTCAACGAGCTCACAAGCACCACGGATGAAAAGCAGAACTGGGTTAGAATTAACATGATCGACTTCACGCATGTCTTCCCAGCGGAGGATCAGAATACTTTGGATCTAAATTATTTAGAGGGAATCGAGAACCTGATCAAACTCGTGGAGATGTTCCTGGTCTCCAAGGATACCTCTGCATGAACTATATTTATTACAACGTAGGAAGTTGTTGTTATACGTTTTCTTTCAAATCGCAATACGAATGTTACACACCTGTATTTTATATTCTTTACTAAAAGTAGATTGATTTTCGAGGTTAGGTCAGTGAAAATCCGCAAGTTTGTAACTCGTGACGATGCATGTGCATTATCGCGTGAATAAAGTACGAGAATGTTTCGCGAAAGCTTATTGGATGTCGTGGAAACGGGGCTTAATGTTCAAATATTTGTCGTTTTACAGCTCTCGTGAAACGTTTTCCGTATTTCTAGTCGGATTCGTTGCAAGTACTGAAAACTGAATGTTAATTGTTTGGCACCAGAGATTACATTTGTAATATTCACATCCTTCGGTGCACCTTCACTTGTCTATATTCCACATTATTAAACACCGTATTCGTTGCTTTTACATATATGGTCTTACATATGTATACGTGATTCATGCAACGATTGTTGTAGTCATCGATTGTTCGTACTATTTCCTTTTTCTCATCTTCTTATCGTGCAGATCAAAATTCTATAATCGATCGAACAGAAAAATTGTTACGTTAATATGAATACCGAAAATACAAGTGTTAATGTAAAGGTCGAATGTCTTTATTCCTACCCTTTCTGGTAAATTCAGGATGTTTGTACCGGAAGCGAAACATTGTGTCTTACAACTTTTTCACCTACATATGAATAATAATTTCACCTATAAATATATACGTTCGCAGACTGGTATCTTGGAGAAGAAATCAGGTACTTACCATGATTAATTCTATTCGAGCCATATGTACATGGAGTTATTACAAATTTGTTTTATTGTATAATTATTGAATATACTAGCTTAATTCATGTATTTGTGAATATTTTATCATTAAGAATAAAAAAAATGTATAATCTGATACACCTGAGTGTATATGATTATTTTAAAAAATATCACCCGATGAGTTTATTTATTTATTTTTTAAATTTAACGATGCAACCATTCGTGGCATGAAAAAGTAGTATCGAATATTCATCGTTAATACGAGTACGTAAATTAATATACGAAACACTATCCGGCGTGCGAGCTAATTGCATTTATTATATTTGTCACCGAAAAATTATTTAAATAAATTCGAAATAAATAAAAAGAATTTTAAATGACATCTGTTCTGCAAATAAAATTTAAATAAATTGTACAAAAGGAAATTACAGATTACAGATTACACAGATTACATCCGTTGCTATTTATTGCCATTAACGAATATTTATTGTAACTTTTCAAAATTAAAAACAAAACAGGAATTAATTGAGAATAATTATCGACGTAACATTTAACCCGGTAATTAATCATCTAGGTTAACGACAGACTCGCCAGGTGGTAGGTTATAAAACAAGCTTGTTCGTTATCGTATATTTTATTCGCCATTCACTCGTAAACAGTTTTTACATTGTCGCTCGAATCGTCGAATGAGCGCACCGGCACGACGTGTCAACTGATAATAATTCATAATTTGCTTAATCTCTCGTAACATTTATAATAATATATATATATAATATTTATATTTGTATTTATATTCATATTTATATATATATATGTATAGATTGTTTGCTTGATCATCGGCTGTATTTACGTGGCACATCATTCACCGTACACCAGCTTATACACTTTCGCGCTGCATACACCACACAGGCTTACTCTTTCTCACTCTTACCTACTTACACTTTTAAGAGTTCATCTCTCTCGCTCGCGGGTCTACAACATCCGATGATTTATAGGACTACAAGACAGCCAGCTCCTTCACTTCGATTTTTTTACGCGTTCTCTGGACGAAGGTAGTCACGATTAGGAAACGAGTGTAACAAAGTGTAACAAAGTCCGGAAATGGTAAAAAGCGCCAGCGAATAGAAATCGAACGTGGAGAACGACTGGACTTTGTACGACCTTTCACGTCGGTAATCGGTAACCGACCGTAACCGATCAGTGACCGACACAGATGGTAATCGTGTCCGCCCGAACGAGTGGTTACGATCCGTTCGCGAAATATCGACCAAGATGATTTCCTGATGCTATAAATTCTATACCTTGTAACGAAACGCCGTCGGTATTGAGGGCTCGATAAATTTACGACGATTATTAGTGCCTGAACAGAGAAAAGCCTTCGAGGGTATCGGTACCTAACGTAATTACTGCGAGCGCGATTAATGGCTAAGGGTTCTGTTAATCAACCCACAAACGCGATTACCACGGCTCAAATTGAATTACGTGTTTTGAATAGCAGGAAAGTCTCTGATATCCAATGCGCGACAGAAACGATCGCAATGTACTACATTCGTTTATGTCACTATACACTGCGTGACTTGTGGCGTAGAGGAAATTTGATCATCGATTATACCTATAAGTGTGACGACATATAACGGAGTAATAATAAAGATGCAGCGATAATATTAGCGGCGGTAATAATGGGATTAATATTTATAACGATATAGCGCTATTACATCACATATTAAACGTAGATGCAGTTAATAATTAAAGTAAGAATATTAAATACTTATCAACGTAACGTTGCATGCGGCAGGGTTGATATACATGTAAGCTTGATGAATCACGTGTTCGTAATTATTATTATGCACTTGCGTGGAAGTGTTTAATTATTCCGTCGTATCCCTGTTTCGTAGAACGGAAATTTAATTCGTGAGTAATTGGATTGAAAATTGCGTTGATTATTCGGTTATAGAATTGGCAGTATATCGCAGCTGGATAAAATTGGAAACTATAATTAAAGCGTTCTTATGAGACTTATTCTATTTTAAGAAGGAGAAGAAACATTTATATCCGTTTGCCTTGAGAAGTGTAGAAAAGGACAATCATTGACCTATTCAAGCAAGAAGCACACGATGAATATTTCCAACCGACATAACGGTTTTCTATTCATTCGACAATTCTCGTTTCTCGTTGATTTTAACAAAAACAGTCTGATTGTCCAAAAACTTTTCAATTGCAATCCAATTTCAATTTTTATTATATCAAATTTTCGTTTTCACGAAAAGATCGATGTTTTTCGAATCGTTAATTCACATTTTATACAAGGTGACAATGTCGATGTATTTTACTACTAGACAAACGTAGTCAACGAATTATATTTGCATACGACTTAGGAAAATAAATCAAATATCAAACGATATTTAAACAAGCAATAGTAATAATGTGATAATTTTTTTCGATGCATCGACTTTGTTATTCGTTAATAAAACAGTTTTCAGATAATGTTTCTAGCAGATGATAAATTTTTAATTTCGTTCGTATTTAAACAAAATTTGTTCATCTTTCTGCAAAAATAGCGCTAAATTAATAATCGAATAATTTTGGAATAATAATTATGGTGAGTATACATCTCGCTGAGAATTTGTTTGTCAACATTTCCAATCAGTTTTAAATTTGTGTTACACGCTCCATCTGGCGTACGATTCTCCAAACAACAATGTGAAACTCTATTTTACCTAAAGTCGATAACAAACCGATTTATTCGCACTGACTTATCCTTTCGATCTTTATGCTTCCGTTTGAAGTTTGTTAACGATCGCAATCTCTCAAACTCACTTTGGCAAAGTACCGATTCGTTTAGGTAGACATAAAGAACGCAAGATCGTGGAATTCCTTTGAAAATTATAGCGGTGATCACGCGTGGAGCGATAAAGATTAGTTTGGCGATGAATTTCAACCGAATGGCTGCGACGGTGCCCACGCGATAAATTTAGCATCCCGATTGCGGAAATAGAAGACGAAGAAACGTGCAACCGCGTGGCCGTTTAAATTCTGCGGTTGTTAACCGCACGAGAACGCGAGTTCCTTTCTTGTCCGGTCCATTCCATCGTGGACCCTAGCTAAAAAATTTGTCCCACGTTTCCTCGCTCGTTTTGCATCGCGTTCAACTAATTTCGCCTAGTTACGTGCCGCGAGTTCTGTCCTTCCCTTCTCGAGCTTTCGGTTTTACAACGTGGTAGGTTTTGATTCCGAATATTCCCAATTTAAATTCTTTTTCTCATTTTCAATTATTTTTAACGGATATAATTTTCATGAAACTTTTTTTATATAATGAAAAAAATAATCCCAATTTAAATTTTTTTTCTTATTTTCAACTATTTTTAACGAATACTATTTCTATGCCTTTTTTTCCAGTAATGAAAAAGATAATATTCCCAATTTAATTTTTTTTTCTCATTTTCAATTATTTTTAACGAATACAATTTTTATGAAATTTTTTTTCAGTCATGAAGTAGATAATATTCCCAATTTAAATTCTTTTTCTCATTTTCAATTATTTTGAACAGATACAATTTTTATGAAAAAAACAACAGAATTTTTTTCAACAAATAAAAAATACACTTCTTTATCCTGACATAAATAACTGTATATTACAGGCACATGGGATAATTCTAGTTTTGTAAATAAATTTTTCGACAGCAAATTTATAAGTTAATAAATGTCGGTGAAAAGTTTCTGATAACTACTATTTCATATAATTAACGTAATAATTAAGAATTCGAAGTAATCTTCCAACTGAACTTTTTTGCGAAGAATATACCAAAATGAAGAAACTTTAATACAAAGTTTCAATCCGTGATATCTACTGCAAAGATGCGAGGTATAAACGCGTAATACTTGGTTACAAGGAAACGTCACATTTTGCAAGACTCCACGGTTTAATTTTTTCAAAATACAGCAAAGTTTAACTTCCATGGAAAGTGGGTAAGTTTTAATAAACTTGTTTAAAGTTAAATGAATTTAAAGTTCACGAGTTCAATAAGGATGTCTGCGCAAAGTTAAATCGAAAGTTATTCACTAAATTTATACGTCGAGTAACGCCATCTGTGTTGTAATACGTTATATACACGCATAAACATGGCTGCAGATAAAAATTCAATTCATAAAACACTTAATAGGTAAAATAAGTATAAACTCACTTTTCTACGAAACGTCATTTAACTATTAATTACCGAAAAAACGAACGAAACTGATTAACACTAGAACTACCAACCCAGTCAAAATGACTGGCCCCAGAATTTTTCTTTTTGCAATCACCGAACACATAAACCTGCTTTAAGAATAAAATTGGTAACAACTCATATTAAGAAAGAACTGTAATCAATATATTTACTCATATTCATCGTACCGCCGAAAATTACTATAATCTGTGCACGTTATAGTTAGGTGCCCATTAAAGATCGGTAGTTCTAGCGTTAAAGAAATTAAATTAATTAAACAAACTAATCTCACAAATCATAGTCGTATATTTAATACACGCCATTTTTAACAAAATAAATATAAATCCATGAAACGGTAAGTCTTCGAATATAATTTAAACTCGATTACAAACTTGACTCACGTTTTTACCCAAACCATAGGAAAAATTGACGAAGACATCAATACCTAACCTATAATAACGACGTTAATTAATCCTTGTTCCGAAAATGATAACTTCGATCAGTATTACAGATATACAATGATCCCGTATCAAATTTCTCATATGTGAGGAATCATGCATAATTCCAATCGATGCACTATTGATAAGCAAAGTAAGTCGGATAGCTAATTAGTTACACGTGTATATCAGCTGCATTGTAATCCGATAAAACTCCAATTTCACTGAACTATTCAACAGGATAACACAGATACTGCCAATTCACTGAATTTCCGATGTTCCAAAGCGTTTAAAAACGTTTGAAAACGACAAAGAGGTGGAGATTGTAGGCGATAAATCTGGTATCGTAATGGCCATCGAACACGGATAAGGAG